GAGCAGGGAGGAGTCAGGCCATGGACTTCCTGCTGGGATCCCGGCACCCAGCGGGAGCAGCGGGGGCTGCACGGGACCTCCGAGTGCCTAGGACGGGGCTGGGCCCGCATCCCGCAGCGTGACGTGACGTGACGTGACGTGACGTGACGTGACGGTGGCGGGCCCTGGACCCAGCGCTCAGCTCTCAGGGAGGCCAGGCTGCACTGAGGGCCATGTGTGCTGTGCGTCCCGCTGAGGGAGCCCCGAGGGGCGGGGGGGGGGGGGGGGCCCGGGGGGGGGGGTGGTGGGTGGGTGGGGGGGGGGGGTGGGGTTGAAGTGTGGTGTGTGTGTGTGTGTGACTGTAAGTGTGGTGTGTGTATGTGTGTGTGTGACTGTGTGTCTGTGTGAGTGTGGTGTGTGTGTGTCTGTGATGTGTGTGTGGTGTGTGTGTGTGTGTCTGTCTGCGACTGTGTGAGTGTAAATGTGGTGTGTGTATGTGTGTGTGTGACTGTGTCTGTGAGTGTGGTGTGTGAGAGTGTAAGTGTGGTGTGTGTATGTGTGTGTGTCTGTGATGTGTGTGTGTGTGTGACTGTAAGTGTGGTGTGTGTCTGTGATGTGTGTGTGTCAGTGTAAGTGTGGTGTGTGTATGTGTGTGTGCGTGTGACTGTATGTCTGTGTGTGTGGTGTGTCTATGTGTGAGTGTAAGTGGTGTGTCTGTGTGTGACTATCTCTGTTGAGTGTGTGGTGTGTGAGTATGTGTGTGTGGTGTGTGGGAGAGTGTATGTGTGTTTGTGTGATGTGTGTGAGTGTAAGTGTGGTGTGTGAGTATGTGTGTCTGATGTGTGTGTGTGAGTGTGTCTGATGTGTGTGGTGTGTGTGTCTATGTGTGAGTGTAAGTGTGGTGTCTATGTGTGTGAGTGTATCTCTGTTGAGTGTAAGTGTAGTGTGTGGGAGAGTGTGTATGTGTGTGTGTGTATCTGTGTGATGTGTGTGAGTATAAGTGTGGTGTGAGTGTGTGTGTGTGTGGTGTGATGTGTGAGTGTAAGTGTGGTGTGAGAGTATGTGTGTGTGGTGTGAGAGTATGTGTGTGTGGTGTGTGTATCTGTGTGATGTGTGAGTGTAAGTGTGGTGTGAGAGTGTGGTGTGTGTGTGGTGTGTGTGTGATGGGGGCAGGAAGGAACTGAGCCTCTGATCCAGGACAGAGACGTCTCCCTCTGTGAGTCCCACAGCTTAAAGTCACGGTTTTCACGGGGTCCTCACGCTAACACCCCGCCCCCCGCCCCAGCGCCCTCTGCAGAGACCCAGGGGCCAGGCTTCAGTCCCAGTGACTCAGCACAGAGGAGGGGTCCCGGCTGAGTCAGGGATGGCAAAAGCTCCCCGTCTCCAGGGAATCGAAACTGGAATGACTTCTCCATGATCCAGACCCAGCCGGCCTCCGAAAAACCCCCAGCGTGCCCCACCCCAAACCCCGTTTTTTGTTGTTTTGTTTTCTTTTGTTTTTTTTTGCGTTTGGTCCTAAAATCAGCTGGCTCAGGGATTTGTAAACTGGGCGGGAGGCAACTTGGTTGTTTTTTTTTTTTTTTTTTTTTTTTTTTTTGGTCCCCTCCTTCCCTTCTTTTCCCGTTGTCCTCGAGACTGTTTACAACAGACCGGAGCCCTGGTTACAAGAGAGGAACCCAAGCGTCCGGGCCGAGCGTCCTC